AAAATCAGTCAACACTATTACGTAGTCAATTATACTATGGCACGTGCCTTGCACGTGTGCTTACTAATTTCTCAAAATTCATTTCTAATTACACATAGATTCATAATTTTTATTATTTTTTTAATAATATATTTCATCATTTTTTATTTAAATTTATTAAAAAATTATTTTTTATAAAACCAAACCGGTGACCACTGATCTCCACTGGACTGCTAATCCGCTTACAGTCCTCTCAAAACCCTACATATTACTGTATTGTCGTAAGCATCTTTTCATACGCAGACTTCTCTTCCACTTAAATCTCCAAAGCTTGAAATTTCTATCTCGCAGTTACAACTCTGTATGCAAGGTAATTTCCGCATTGTTTAAGTTATTATTTTTTGGTAATTTTTCTGAAGTATTTGCCAATATATATTTTTAATTTCCAGATCTGTTTTTACTGGCGGATCTTTTCTGTATGTAGAGATTTTGTACTGTTGTTTGTGCTGTGAATATTTAGTATCATAAAATTGAAGCTTGTATGTCCCCTTCTCTACGTTTTTTTATCCTGGGATTAGATTATTGGATATTGGGTTTTATTTATGACTTTTTCTTTCAATTAAATCAAAAAAATTTAGCGTCTCGCTCTTTTTTTTTTTTACGTGCTGCTCAGTGGGAATTAAGCGGTTTTCAGATCTGGGATTTTAGTGTTACTTGTCAATCTCTTCCAATGAAAAAATCCACTTAGATATATTGGAATTAAGATTTTTATTTATTTTTCTGCGTGGTGACGCTACTATTCAAAATTTTAATTGTTTTTATATGCTCTTGATTTATAATCTAACTTCTTGAATGTGTGTTATGAAGTAATAACAGGATGTTATTTGAGTGAAATTGAATTACAGAGCACTTCCGATTCACCTGTAAACATGTATGAATATTTTTTTAAAAAGGTGTAATCAGGTACTTAGGCCTTAACTAAGAAGATTGAGGCATAAGCTTCACCTCAAATGAAAAATCAAGTCAGAAGTTATAAAATAACAAAAGAAAATGTAATAAATCATGAAATATCTTGAAAATTCTTTGTAGAATTAACACCAAAAAAAATCTATGAAGTAGCAAATACTCCCGCTACTGGACTTCCTGTGACGTCCCTGGAGTTTCTGCAACACTGCCTGGTCAATAAAGAAGAGTTGGAGAGAGAAAAAAAAATTAAATCAGAAAGGAAAAAATTGCAGAAAAAGAAGCAAAATTACCTGCTGGAATATGGAGCAGGGGAGTTGTTTAAGGTTTTTTGTTCTTCTATCTTGGGTGTCAATTTAATATTAGCTTAGGTTTTGTCAAAGAAGAAAAAGGTAGTGGCCAATTAAGAACCCACTTAAACCTGATGTCTGGAATTACAGTTGTTTCAGAAAAAAAAGGATAAAAAAAATCCACAGCAAAAAATTAATTTATGGCTGCAGCCTTAGTGCCTTGAGGCGTGCACCTCATTAACGTGAGGTGACTGCCTCAGTAAAATAGTATTAAAACTAGATCCTTAAGGCACTGGTCCCATGCGTAATTGATGTTCTTGTTTAAGATTTTACTATTATTATCTCCAAGGCTAAAGACACAAACTATAGTTATGTAAATGTAGAATGTTTTTTTGAATAAGCAAAAGCGGATATGGAAATTCTGGAATGAGATGAGAATATATTTCTTTAGATGTTGTAATGCCACCATCGGATATGTTTGACTTGTGTAGTGATGTGCTGATTTAGTACATATAAATTCTGACTTTTAGCTAATAGCTGCCAGTAGATTAATATGGAATATCAATCAAATATTATTTCAGATGGCTGGTCAGAGAAACTACGGGAAGCGATCGAATTCTCAGTCTGACTTTGGTGATAATAGAGGAAACAAAAGAAGAAATTCTGGAACTGATAAAGACCTTTTCTCTATTGGGCCAGATGACACTGTGTACCGCTACTTGTGTCCTGGGAAGAAGATTGGAAGTATTATAGGAAGGGGAGGGGAAATTGTTAAGCAACTAAGAGTGGATACTAAATCAAAGATTAGAATTGGCGAGTCAGTGCCTGGATGCGAAGATCGTGTTGTCACTATATATAGTACTAGCGAGGAAACAAATGATTTTGATGGTAGTGATGATCGTGTTTGTCCTGCTCAAGATGCACTTTTCAAAGTTCATGATAGAATTGTTGCTGAGGACGTTTCAGTTGACGAGGACTCTGAAGAAGCTCCACAAGTTACTGCTCGGCTTCTAGTACCATCTGATCAGATTGGATGCATCATTGGGAAAGGCGGGCAGATAGTTCAGAATATTCGTAGCGAAACTGGAGCTCAGGTTCGCATTCTTAAGGATGGCCATTTGCCTGCATGTGCGTTGAACTCTGATGAACTTGTGCAGGTATTGTTGATTCATATATTTTGTTCATCTTCTTAATCCTTCCCGTGGCTCACTATGGTTCTATTGTTCGTATTCAGTTGCACTGAAAGTTTCTGCTTAAATATAGAGTTTTCTTATATGCTGCTTTTGCAGATGTAAATTCTCTGAACATTTTCTTTCCTAGTTTTTTTTTTCTTGTCTTCTTTCATTTGTTGTAATCTTTTAATTCCAATCTTATTTGTCACCAAGAGAATCATAATTTTTGAGGGCTTTCACAGTTTAAAAAAGATGGTATATATGGCATAACGACTCTTCTTCACTATTCCTATGTTTAATGTTTTTCTTGCCAGATGTTCTTCACAGTTTTATTTAGATTTAGGCATGAGATTGACTGAATATTTAATTTGAGTTGCAATGTCTCCAATCCTATTAATATGCTTGTTTTTATTGATCTGTGTGGTTTCAGATATCTGGTGAAGCCTCTGTAGTTAAGAAAGCTCTTTATCAGATTGCATCTAGGCTTCATGAGAATCCTTCTCGATCTCAGCATTTGCTGGCATCTTCTGTTCCCAGTGTCTATCCTTCTGGTGGTTCACTTATAGGGCCCCCTGCTGGTACCTCCATTATGGGATTGACTCCACTGGTCGGGCCTTATGGGGGATATAAAGGAGAGAGTGCAGACTGGTCACGTTCTCTCTACACGGCTCCAAGAAATGAAGCATCTTCAAAGGAATTCTCACTCCGTTTGGCTTGTCCGACTTCTAACATTGGCGGTGTTATTGGCAAAGGTGGTGTGATAATAAATCAAATCAGACAAGAATCTAGGGCAGCTATCAAAGTTGATAGTTCTGCTGCAGAGGGAGATGATTGTGTAATATCTATTTCAGCGAAAGAGGTAAGGTTTTGCATATTTTATTTTAGAGTTGATGATATTGTATGTGCCTGTTTTCAGTTTTTTATAATTCAAACTTTTTCCTCTGTGTTTGTCATTAGTTTTTTGAAGACACCTTCTCTCCAACGATCGAAGCAGCACTGCGCTTGCAGCCCAGATGCAGTGAAAAAATTGAAAGAGATTCAGGTCTTATTTCTTTCACTACACGGTTACTTGTCCCAACCTCTCGGATTGGTTGCCTTATCGGCAAAGGAGGTTCCATTATTTCGGAAATGAGGAAAATCACTAAAGCTAATATTCGCATACTGTCGAAGGAAAACCTTCCTAAGGTGGCCGCTGAAGATGATGAGATGGTGCAGGTAAAGATATAAATATGGCGGTGAATGTGTAATAATATGATTTTCACACATTTGAATATTGAGGTGTAGGTTAATATGAACAAACACTTTGCTTGAGATGTGGTTGTCATTGATGAACTCACTTGTGAAATCAATTTTATAAGCTTCTTATTTGAGGTTTAAACAACATTTTTAAGTTTTCAGGAAATAAGATACTTGTTCGAATACCTATCAACCAATTTTGTGGAAATTCTGTTTCGGACAATTGAGCACCATTATATGTACATTTAACATGCATCTCCCTATTCCATTCCTGTAAATCCTCATACCATTCATCACTTTGCAATAGTAGCATACGCCCAATAGTTTTGGCTATGATCGATGAAGGTAATAGAATATATTTTACTAAAAATAGATTGAGTTATTAACGTGGAACCTCTTATTACTTGCACAAATGGAATGGTATCCCAGGTTACTCGTCCTTTTTAAGTATCTAAATCTAAATAATGGAAGGAAGGATAAAAAGGGAATCATGTCATTAGGTGAATACCTAAACCATGCTGTACATGAGTACCTAATTCTGTTTTTATTTGATTTTTTTCAGATTTCTGGAGAGCTTGACATTGCCAAGGATGCTCTTGTACAAGTAACTTCACGCTTGAGGGCAAATCTTTTTGAGAAGGAGGGTGCTATGTCCACCTTTGTACCTGTACTTCCATACCTTCCAATGTCAGCAGATGGTCCAGAGAGTTTAAACTATGAAAGCAGAGATGCTAAGAACCGTGGCCGTGGATATTCCTATTCTGATGGATATGGTGGCTCTCCTGAATTGCCACGTGTTGATGCTTATGGGACTTATAGTGGTCTTCATGTAAAGTTTTTGTCTATTTTATTTCAATTAATTTTGAGAAAAAAATATCGAGAAATGGGAGCAAAAACTTGTTATACTTTCTCCTTTATCCGTGATGGGGTGATTATATTTTCTAATTATTCGCAGAGTGGTGGTGGTAGCTCTGCTTATGGAGTATATGGAGGTCATTCCTCTGGTCGTTCTGGTGGTTCTGGGTAAGATTTCTGTTCTCTTTGTTGGTGCACTAGACTGATGGCCATGTTCTTTCTTGTGTCTTATGTCAGGTTGAACCAGTACAGTGCCTAGATAATATTTGGATATTATTTTTTCCAAGAGCCTAAGCGTTTCTATGAGATGTTAGTCGTAGAGGATTGAACTAAATTGACCTTTTGAGCCGTGCCGGACTTTTATTATTTTGACTCGCCAACTTGGTTTCTTTTTCTTGACTTGAAACTCGGACATTTCTAAATTGATCTTTTTTCCTATCCAAAATTGTATCTATACATCCTGCGAATATTTTGTATAAATTGATATGATTCTCCAAGTCCCTGATTGTCAGCTTCTTTTACCAGGTTATCTGGACGTAACCCTGTTTCTAGGGGGAGAAATTATGATTACTAGAGTTTGATAATAAGATTGCAGGTAGACCTTGGTTTCACTTTATATCCTCATTTCTATTCATGCTGTCTAAAAGGTTTCTTATCTGTATTTGCTCATAAAAAAGTTTTGTCAAGTTTTTTGCGATAACTTTCCTCTTTCCCCTTTATGACTGATGCTCTTCTTTTCCCTTTGTTTCCTTTCCATTCCCAACAAAACAGCTGAGATATCTGAAGCCTGAAGTCAGCCTTCTGCCTCTTTTGATGAAGCCTACTGCCTAAACCAGAAGACCAGATGAACCAGGGTTTGGAAAACCGACCGTCCACCTTGATGCTTTTCTTTAGGAGTACCAATATCTGAAGATCTTACCTATCAAATTGCCATGTCCCGACACCATATGATACCAAGCTTAATATATAGCTCCTAAGAACCTGTGTAGCCAGCTGCCTTTATCCATTTTACTTCCTCCAGCAGCTGTTGTGACATTTCGTTTAGTTCTTAGCTGTGTCTTTAGGATTTATGGTGGTTTATTTTGTTTAAAAATTAATGCGACTTGAATAGTTTTAGTTGAAGAAATATTTGCTTAATTTGCGATGTATAACAGATTTCTTTGAACATACCTGTTATTATTATGGCAAATTTTTCGTAGTTTACTGGTGGGTTATGCTGTTAAAATTTTATCATTGAGTTCATGCAATGTCTACCATGACTATTGACTAAGTTCAATTCTACAATTTGGAATATGTAGGGTGTTCTGTAGTCTAGAAGATCTTATGCACAATGCTTTGTTTCTTACTTCAAAGCATAACAATCTAAATCATTATGGCTATGCTTGTTTTGGTCAATATCCTTTGCAAGATTTTATATGAGAAACAGTAGACTATAGTGTGGGATGAGGAACTAGCAACTGTAGCAGTTATAAGGCAGATGCAGTCCAGAGGATAGGATTGATCCTGGTTGCAAGTCACTTAAAAATCTGGCAGTAAGTGTAACATCAAAATTTGTCTCGTAATTTTCTATTGCAAGACATGGATTCAGTTTGATTGGAACTAGGTAACATTGATGGTTGAATGGCAGCAGGCTTGATGGGGGACACGTTTTCTGCAAACTGCAGGTAATATTCTATTTCCTAATGTACCAGATAATCTTGTAGTCAAAAACAATTTTCAGGGCGCTATCTATGCATCTAATGAATGGTGAGTCCACAATACTTGATATCACATGCTCACAGATTTCCCTCCCTTTCCATATTTAAGTACATTAAATTTTTAACCATTTATGGTCTCTCTGTCATTTTGGGTTCTACTTTAACACTGCTGCATGTTCATTCGTGGACTTGTGCATTGTCTCTCCAAACAGCTGAACTTTGTTGAAAACTTGAAAGTCACATTTGAGCAGTGTCCCATTTTTTGTTTTATTTGAATTATGTTCATTTCCAACTTCATATCTTCATCTGCAGATGCAGCCAATGATAGATATCATTGGATTGGTGTCTTATATTACTATATTTTCTGTTATTTAATGCGCAATTCTTTTCTATTTGTACTTTATTGTTCTCATTACTAGAAACAAAGATTTGTCTAGGTGAAATTCTTATTCTATCTTGAATATAGGTAACTATACTCCCTAATTTTCTACAGCTTTGTTAGCAATTATGGACGCGTGTTTTATTATTGGATAGCATCCTTAATAAACGGCAGCCCCTCTGTTGGAGAGTCCCTCCGCAAGGTTGGACAAAACGTAGAATTGATTGTAAAGAATAGGATTAAGCTCCTGTTTGGTGGAGATTAAAATTAGATTTTTAATAAATTTTGATAAAAAGTTGATGAAAATCAGTGTTTTGGAAACAGGCATGGGCATCATCAGGGAAAGATCAAGGGACAAGGGTAAAAAGCTTGAATGGAGTCTGAACCGATTATCAAAAATAAATAAAATGAATATATTTATATGTCACAAAATTGATAAGAATATTTTAATTTTCAAATATATATCGCCAAAAGAATTAATTAAACGTGGCTACATTTAGATTTCAATATGTAGCATTTTAGTGTGTTAAGTAAACCAACACTATATGAAAAAGAGTTTATTTGAATGAAAAAAATTAGTCAAGTTAAACAAATCAATAATTTATTTTGAGCTTTAGGGTGGGGTGTGTTTGATGTATATTATTGAGGAAATAATGTATTTTAAATAGGAAAATATGTGGTTAAAAAGTAAAGAAAATTTATTGCTTTGATCAAAAATATTATTTTATTAAAGAATGTGTGGTTGAAGATGAGTTGAAATAATGTATTTTGACATTATTTTGAAAGAGTGAGTATTAAACAATGGCTTAGGCTCTCTTGTATTTTCTCTTCAATTAAAAATATATATATTGGTTACGACCAAAGTTCTTAAGAGCGAAAAGCGTGGTTAGACATTGATGCGAAATTTTAAGCTTTACGAGTTTAAGCAAAATGAATTTTTTAATCTTTAATATTATTTTAATTTTTTGATCATTTTTAATTATTTAATGATTAAAATAATACATATCAAACATTTAAAACTATAAAATATTATATTTAGTTAATAATTCCTATAGGCTATCATTAGTCAATTATATAATTTTCAAGTTTTTGAAATGTAAAAATTAAAATATTTTTTATAGTTTCAATTTTCAATTAGACAAGTTTCATTTAATGATATATGGAAACTTCATATATGCTTTTGGAGTTTGCAACAAAATAATGTGTTAAAATTATAATTAAATTATCAGAACGATTCCCGAAATATTTTTTTGAATACTCGTCAATGTCTTCACTATTCATGGAACGCGAGAAGTAGAGAAAATTTAGGTGTCGTCGCGTAAAATGATATGTTCCTTAGGGGTGTCCAAAAGTCTCGAACCGGACCGAATCGAACCCGAACCGAACCGAGCGGTTCTTCATAAATTAAATACCCGAACGGGTACCCGAATCGAGAACTGATGGGTTTGGGTCGGGTCTCGGGTCTAGACCAAGAACCGAAGAACCGAATAAGAACCGAAACTAAATAATTTTTTTATTTTTTATATTGAATTAATTAAATTATTTTATTTTTTTCTAAACAAATTAGCAAATTAATTAAATAAATCAA